GGGATGTACCATACCACATTAGAATGTCATCTATGACCTAGAGTAGGCCCTTATTCCCTTTTTTAGGGTTCAGGTTCCCTTATAAGCCCCTTTAAACCAAAAAGGGCATCCTTTTTCCTCCTAGGTTACTCTTGGGTCTAGTCATATAATATACTCCGAAATAAGGTACCCCTAATTTTCAGCAACTCCCAAATCAGAACTCGAACTCCAGCTCCCAAAGAAAGCAAAGCCCTGAATCACCAACCCAAATCAAGAACCGAGACTGCAAGGTTCTGAAAAGCCCGAAAACCCCCAAACCCTATACCCAATAAGGCCCTGAAGTTCTTAAACCCCAGGCCTTAAGCAGCTAAACCCTAGGCCCTAAGGTCCTAAGAAACCCTAACACCTAAACCTAAAGGTTGTTAAGCCCTAAGCCCTTAAACTCTAAACCCTAAACCCTATAAGGTACGGGACAACCCTAAACCCATACCCTAAACCCTTAAACCCTATTTTAAACCGTAAATCCCTAAACCCAAGACCCCTAAACCGTAGATCCTAAGGTTCTGAAGAACTCTAGGCCCATAAACTCCGAAGCCTTTGGCATTTCCGAGCAGGCATGTTCGGGATCTCACCATCTCTCGGGAAGGAGTTCGGGACCTCGGATGCTATATGGGGTAAAATAAATAGAAGTATATAAGTATATATGTGTGTGTATGTTTATATGCATGTATGTGGGTATGTATGTATCTCTGTATGTCTGTATGTATGTCTGTATGTCTATGATTATATGTATACATGTGTATATATGTACACACAGAGATAGTTGTTCACCGATTTTCACATACTTCTGAAAGATAGCTAGACCGACAGGTAGATAAACCTTAAACCCTAAATATATATATATATATATATATATATACATATATATATATATACATATATATATATATATAGATGGACGGGTTGACAGACAGGTAGGTGGACGGAGAGATAGATAGCCAGACAGACCGGTCGATGGACAGACGGTAGATGGACAGATAGGTACCTACATCGAAAGGTAGATAGACAGATAAGATAGTTACGGAGATAGAGAGATAGAGAGCTTGAGAGATAGAAAGATAGATATTGAAACGGACACGGAGATAGAGATAGTCATATCGACATAGATACAGGTGATGTCGCACATGCTTGCAGTGTTGTCGACTCGTCGTGGAGTTGTTCACGATGTTTCAAGACATCGGCCAGACTTGATCAGTCTTTGTTTCGCATTTTCGTCGTGCGCCGGATTTCTGCCAGAAAGTTTCCCCGGAGACTTTGTCGATGCATGCTGTTTAGCTCCGGTTTTAAATGATGTTAGTATTGTGCTCCTGTATGTTTGTATGCTGTGTGTTTGTCTGTATGTAGGTATGTCTGCATGTATACATACCTACCTACATACGTACGTATGTACGTACATACACGCATGTTAATATCCGTACATACATACACATACATACATACATACATACATACATACATACATACATACCTACATGCCTATGCGATCAGCCCTACACCCAACAGTTAAAGGCTACCAAAAACACATAGAAAGTTCGTAGTATCCTAACTTGAACCCGCGAAACAATTCCCAGACTCTGATCGTTCATGGACAAGCCATGCTCGAGAGCTTCCATTAGCAGATGGGGTTGTCGTGGATTTGCGAGGGTACTTGTAATGAAGGCACACAGCTAATCGATCTTTTGTGTTGGCATTGGAGAAATTTGGGGCATTTGCGGTCTACTAGGCTGTACTTAATGTCTTTTAAAGTTTAGGAACCCTCAACCCAAAACCCTAGGCTCTACTTATTGTTTTTTGAAAGTCTAGGAACCCTAAACCCTAAACCCTAGGCTATACTTATTGTTTGTTTTTTTGTAAGTTTAGGCCAACAAGGTTCTTTGTTGGTTACTGCCCCGACTCAGTAACAGTTGGAGAATATTCATAATATAGAGATATAGGGTCCTTAATAGTAGCCCTAGTATAGACCGTTACTGTATGGTTGCCGTACCCAAGTTCTTTGAGTCGAAGTTCTGGCCTGGAGGTTTTCGAACCAAGGGCTTGGATTTATCAAAGGGGAAAAAGGAAGGACCCTTAAGGGTCCCTTTAAAGGGATCTATTGGGATGCTATAAGGGTATAGGGTTTAGGGTTTTGAGGTTTGGGGGTTTAGAGGGTTTAGGGGAAAAGGAGGGACCCTCAATGGGGACCCCTACCCTATAATGGGCTATAGAATGGGTATATAATAGCTATATTAAGGGTATATACCTAGGGGTCCTTAGTAAAGGTCCCTCCGTTTACCCTTGCAATTTAAGGTTCGAGGATTCGGGTTCAGGACCTGGGTGCTGATGATTTGGGAGTTTCCGAAAACTAGGGGTACCTCATTTTGGGGTCCTTGTAATAAGGATCCAACTATTTAGGGTACTATATTAAGGTCCCCTATTTTGGGAAACTCCCATTTGAGGATTGGTCCACTCGAGCCCAGGGAGGTGGTAATGATCTTCGGTTCATGATGGTATTCTGCAAGGACAGCTCTGTTGAGTAGCTATTTCCTCAGCCCAGCCCCTACTGCGAATCGCAAACCCGAGCCGCCCCCTGAACCAGAACTCGAAGCCACAGACCGAGTTTACCGGACATCCTATACTTGGAGGATCATGGGACTTAGTAAGTCAGGTTATAAGTACTTTAAGTGGGCTTGTTTATAACCCCAGGTACTAAGTCCCATGATCCTTTAAGTACCACCCTGCCGCAACACTTCCAAACCAGCGTAGTACAAAACTCTTCGAGAGAGTAGTTTGGGGCACCGGGTTTTCCAGACTTTAACCCCGAAGCCCTAAACCCTTATACCGACCTTTCGTGCTCTGAGACTCTAAGATAATGGAACCCATGACAGGGCCATAGACGAACCCTTAAAGAAACCTTCAAGGAACCCTCAACAGAACCCTGAAAGGAACCCTTAAAAGGAGCCGTAGCTTATGAAGTCTAAACTTTATCTAAACCTTAGGGGCCCAAAAAGGACATAAGCATAAGCATTTTGTAGGGATATCTCTACCTTATTGTGCTTCACCCAATCCAATGTTTGCTTATCTGCTTTTTTTGCCCTAAAAAACGTTCCTGAGGTCAACCCTAAACCCTCAACCCTAAACCCTAAAACCCTAAACCCTAAACCCCTAAACCCTAAAACCCTAAACCACTAAACCCCTAAACCCCTCCTGAGGTCGGCACCATCACCTTTGAAGGGGAGACCGACGTGACGGGTCTGGACTTCGAGGTTCCCAGAGAATCCAATACCCCTTAAGGAATATCCTTAAATCATAATATTAATGCCTCTACCATTTAAGGTATATTCCTGAATTAAGGGGTAGTGGGTTCTCTGGGTTCCTTCCACCGAGCGGTTTGGGATTTGGGGTTTAGCGATTGGGGGTTTAGTTAGTGCTGTGGGTTTGGGGTTTAGTTAGGGTTTGGGGTTTAGGGGTTTAGGGCTTGGGGATTAGGATTTAGGGTTCGGGGTTTAGGATTTCGGGTTTGGGGATTAGGATTTCTTGTTTAGGGGTTTGGGGTTTAGGGTTTAGGGGCTTGTCTTTTCTCAAGGGTGGTTGTTAGGAGTGTTCCGCATTCCAGCATGTTTGTCTTACTGGTTTTCCCGACTAGATTCCGGCATCCTAAACCCGCGAACCTGCACGCCTTTGTCGGAACCTGGATAACCAGGATGCCCAGTAGTACCCTTATTCCCTTTTTGTAGTCCTAGGTTCCTTATAAAGTTACCCAATGCCAAAAAGAGAGGCCTTTTTATTCTTAGGTTACTGGGTATCCTAGATAAGAAGGATTGGGGTCGAGTTATCCGACTCCCCGGGGCCGAGGTCCATGACGTATGGGTGCTTGGCCTTACCATAAGGGTCCAAAGGACCCAATAGTTAGGTACTTGGGTTTGGGATAGTAGTGATGTAGGTTGCCATTTTTGACAGTATATGATGGTAGTTGGAAATTTAGGGTTAGGGTTGGAGGGATTTCGATTTTATGTCTCAGTTAGTTGGTCTTAGGGCATCGAAATGGACAGGACTCTGGTGTTGGGTGTAAGCGCTGGTGCAGCCGTTAACATGTAAATCCGTTTGTGAAGTTGTGAGGGTTCTTTCATGACTATTCATGACTAAGCCCACTCCCCGACAATGGGTTCATAGGTGGGGCTTCCCAAACTAAAATCCCCAAACCGTAAACCCTGAACCCCAAGTTCTAAACATTCTAAACCCCTAAACTCCATAAACGCTCATAATACCTTGGTGGGCCTTGCAGAAAGGTGGTTGTATCGATCCGAAGGTTGCCTTGTCCTTGCCTGCAGGCCAAGCCTTCCGAGTACCAGGAACTGAAAGGCGCGGCTGTTGCTGGGCGAGTCGTGATCATGCAGACGTACGAGGTGCCGACCAAGCAGCACGGCATGACGGCAGCTGCGCCGTCCAAAGGGAAAGGTGAGACCAAGCAGAAGAAAGGATCGCAGCCGCAAAAAATCCGAAGACGGAGACGCATTTGCATTTGGCAGGCTTAGACTCGGTGAACGGGGTAGTCTTCATCGACGCTTGGGCGGAACAGTCCACTCAGCTCAGATTGCGCTGAGGAACTCCGTGAATGGACGACAGCTGCCTCTCAATCACTATTTCGCCGCACTTCCAGACGCACAGGCCTTGACCCTGATCTTACGTCTCCTACTTACCTTAGGAACGTTTTCCTCAATATAATTCCGGCGTGGGTCCCAAACCCGGGGTTTAACTTCAAGAACCGGGGTTTAGGATTTAAGGAGATTTCTGTGCTTTGCCCACTACTTGATTTCATGTTTCCGAAAGCTAGAAACCTCTACACTTGCACGCCTACAGGGCTCATAATCAACTTCTTTCGAAGAAAAAGTCGGTAACCGATGATATTGACACTTCCGCGTTAAAACTACTCTCGTGACTCTGATGCCGTTGAATGCTCGCCCGATGTCTGGCTTTTTCTCGGATCAGCGGCGCTTCGTCTCGATCAAAAGGCCTGAATTGACCCACTCGGAATACGCAGATTGCAAGTAGCGCTCTAACGTTCTTTGCACCGCTAACCTTGGTGCCACGCGGCGGCTCAATCGTGACGGTCGCCCCACCAGATCCTCGCTCATTTGTGTCGAAAACACGAGTGGATTGAGACATTCGTATCCACCATTTGCAGCCCTCAACAGGTCGATCGCGAAATGATGGAAAGGATGTAGCTTCGGTTGGAGTGTGAACAGTGTTTTCTCCTGAGCATGCGCTAGCTGAGCACACTGCTCGTACCTGCGTAGGAACTGGCTGGCCAATTGGCCAGCTTCGTTGGATCTCTCCACAGAAAGCCACACGTCTTCAGCATATAAAATTCTGAAAAGCTTGTTGGCAATCCTGACAGCTGAGAGGGCCTTCTCCAGCAGTGGATCTCCTAATGGATTGCATGTCTCAGCCCATTCCAACATATTGGTTGTGATGGTAGCCTTGTACCAACCACCTTTCGGGTAGTCGGTCGATGCAGACCAAGAAATCATATCCTTCGTGATCTTCGATAGCAGAGCAGATCTGCGAGTCGCCTTGCACCAGCTCACATACTTCGCGGAGATTTTCTCCAGCCGCACTTCAACGTTTCCAGACTCTTGGTTGGAAAGCAGAACGATAACGGATCCCATCAAGTGCTTTCCCACACCTAAGTGGAAGGTGTGGAAAATGTCAAATGCGAAGTGATCAGGTAATCTTCCCGGCGAGTGCGGGACACGGGCAGCAGGCGGAAGGCTCTTGAAGGGTGACGAAGCATTGAGCGTGTGTGCCCAAGCTGGGTGTCGTGTACCAATACACTCAAAAGGAATGCGATCGGTACCCGCTTCGCACAAGTGACAAATTGGCTTCGCAACTTGGTTGAGCTTTTTCACGGTGTTGGCAAAGGAGCGGTCTAAATGACCAGACTTAACCAAAAATGGCCAATCTCCCACTGTACGAATCAGTGCCACCCAGTAGCACTTCCCTTGGTCTTCGATGCCGGTATTGATCATGAAAACGGCGTCATCATAGATCTTTTCCAAAAGAGCCTCAAACGATTTGTCGCCGTCCAAATAAAGATGTCGAGGTAAGACTGCTGTAATGAAGCGGGTTGTGTATGAGTGACCTTTCATGTTCAACTTTTGTTTCAGATACGCCTTCTTTACTCCAGCTTTTTTCTGTGACTCCAAACCATAATTCGTGCCACGGCCTAACACACTATGGTAGGAGAGGATCATACATGGGGCGCGGCGGCGGCCACGCCCCTCATCCCCATGCAGCACGATCGCGGCTGTCCGCCCCAAGGACAGACGGTTCTCATCGGCCATCCTGTATACCGGATGATTCGGCTCGATGCGGCGAAACTTGTTCCACCACGATTCCCAAATTTTCTCTGATCTTTGAGCGTCGGGTCTGACCAGGCCAGCCAATATGTGCCAGTTATTGGAACGAAGAAGAAAAGTAACCCAGCTTTGCAGACTCAAGGTTTGCAGCTCCAGAATGGAAACTTTGGAATCTTCAGAATTCGTGGCCACTGAAACCGTTGTGAAAGGAATCGGTAATGATAACTTCAACTTCTTTGCAAAAAGTGTCCGGGTGGCTTGTTCAGAATGATACAGGGAGCACTTTGCTAAAGCCTCGAGGCCTCCACTGCAGCGAGCCTGATCTCGCCCCACGTCCGCGACGACGTTGCGGGCAGTTCTGATGGCCGCCCGACAAGAAGCCTCGGCCACCGATGTTTTTGTTTATATGGTTCAAGAAAGAAACTGCTGAAAGTGCCACACGTCAATACAAGCACACACGGCCGGTTGTGATCATTTTCGCTCGCTTCCCCCGAGTTTTGCTTCAGTGAGACGATTTGTTTATGTGAATATCCGGAGGATACTTGAAAGATCTGTACACAACATAAGTCATGAAAATATCATTCGTCGAGACCAAAGAAGTCTGCACCGTGTCCCCGCCGGATTTGATATTGCGGCAGCCCTCCGTGCCTTGCCGGGACCCGAACTTTGACTCGATACATGTCTGGAAACAAGCTCATCAAAAGAAACAGATTTCAGCCGAGCCACCTTCAAATCTCGCAATGAGGGCAGCTTCTAGCATGGACGGCCCGAAAGGCTCTTTTGAAACGTAGAGAACCTTCATGTGACTCCACTTGGCTTTGTCGTGCTGGTAGCCATACAGTGAATTGGTGCATCGCCACATTGCATTGTGCGTGTAGCCGATTTTGAATATCATCGGCCGGTGCTTCTTGTGGAGGTTTTCGAAACGCTTTATGGCGTGCCACAAGACTTTTCCACTCGTGGCATTTTCAGCTGGGAGATCGAAAGTAATGCAACCAAGTCGAGCACACTCGGCCTGAAGATTGGAAAGTTTTGTAGAATCGTTCAGTTCAGAAACCATGGAGTCGGACTTCACAGAACTGCTTTGGATGCTCATGTTGCTGGGGTCTTCAGCCGCGCTCGCCAAAGGTTTTTTCCCCAGCACCCCAAGCTTGCTATCGGATGCACACTCGGGCTTGCTGGACCACGGAAAAGGGCCTTCAGATTCCTGACAGATTGCTGGCTTCAAAATGTATACGACTAAGTTAGTTCAGTTAAGAAAGATTTGATGTGTTCAAGCCCATGAAACACCAAAATATGTATAGAATGAAACAGTCAAGCATCATCTCGATGACACGTCAGTAAGTCCAACAGCTCATCTTCTGGGCTTTCGATGGAAGTAGACAAGGCATCCATGGCACATAAACCCTCCACCTTTCCCCTTCCCATACATAGATCCACAGATTTGTTTTTGTTCGAAAGAACCGCAGATCAGGGCATGGAGTGTATTCGCGAAATGCAGAAGAAGACTAAGCTCGTGGCCCCATCGCCGATCTCCTTGCTCAATCCCCTCACCACATGGCCTGAAGGTTGACCTGGCGTAGGGGATAGTACGAAAACTCATTGATTCGAGATATTGAGTTGGTGGGCTGCGACTGATCAACTGCAGACAATCACTGATTTCTTGCATCCAGCACTCCCCGGGATGCTGCTAAGCCGTGAAACAGGAGTGTGCAAGCTCGCTCTACGGATCATACCGCAGATCTCGATCGAATTTTTTGGGGGCCCGGTTTCATCTGCAGCTCGCGCTACAACCCTGCCCAAACACATAGAAACATATCAAGTGTGAAAACTACTTCTTTGGCTTGGCTTTGCCCTTAGCCTTCTTACCATCATCAGCACTCTGTGGCTCCTCGGTTTTCGAGGGCTTAGCTTTGGCCTTGGCCTTAAGCTTGGCGTCATCTTCGTCCTTCGTGTAGTACTTCTTGGCATTCCTGCCCACAAGGCTATTCAGTGCTCAGCAGAAGCCTTTGGTATCGGTACTTGTGGGGCCAGCTGTTCAAGTCAAGCTACATTGCTAGTCATATATTACTAGAAACTCCAATATCTACGGAAGTGGCAAAGAATCGTTACTCGTATAGGATTTCAGAAAAATTGAGGTATTGGGTTGGCACTATTATTATGTCTATATATATATATATATATATATATGGGTCTTTTTAAATAGACACGACGTCAGAAACTCGGAGCTATAGGTACCAGCCCTATATACATCGAAAGGCACCGAAGGCCGAACCATTAAGATGAGTATATATAGCATGTAAGAACGGGTTTCTACTTTTGATAGATGCATAGAGGGATTTCAGTCCGTTGGCTAAAAACTCTCTCTCTCTCTCTCTCTCTCTCTCTCTCTCTCTCTCTCTCTCTCTCTCTCTGTAGTCCCTGCTTGCAACACATTGACCCATCGAACCGAGATTCGCTCAAACCAACACCGACCAAAGCCCCAGCTACAAGCCCTGTGTAACCCCGTGGCTGATCCGATGGCACCTCGTCTTCACTTCGGTCGCGGATGCCTTTGTGCACCTCGCAAGCGGTTCATGGTTTTGGGTTGGGCTTTCTGCTCGAATAGAATCTGGGCTTCAGGCACAGATGTGGCCTTCTGCATGGCGGCTTCAGCTTGCTTCTGAAACCTGAGGTATAGCAGCCCAAGATGACAGTTTTTGAATTGGAGAAAGGAGAAGTCCCAAAGCAAAGCTTCTCGGTTAAGTCAAATCTCGATTCCGGAGTCACACCGGGTGTTGATGCCTTCCCAAGCACCTCTGAGCATGCATCGTACTGGGCCTCCACAGCCTTGATCTCTAACTCCAAAGCTTGCTGGCTCCTGAGTTTCAGCGGGGCTTCAGGCGGGATTGTTTTGGTTAGTGTACGACGGTTTGATTAATGCAATTGGGTATCTTCTTGGCACCATCATCCCGCGAGTACCCTTTGGAAAGAGTCTTGTGCAGTGCACGGAGCTTCCCCGACAATGCCATCGTAGACTCCAAAAATTTCTCAAGCGCAGATTTCGTCTGATCAGGCAGCATGACGCGAGCACGGAGCAACTTCAGTTGAAGCTATATTTAGGTCGGACACACGTGCACACACACATATACACACTCAAGCGAGCCTGTGCAAACTTGTGGCTCTCCGGGTTGTTTTCCGGGGCTGGAGCATTTGTCTGTGGGGCAATCGTAGGCAAACACGACTTTTCTTTGTCCTTGTCGGACAAAGCAAGGTGCGCTGGCACTTGTGGCAGATCGTCAACCTGCCACATGGCTTTGGAGCTTCGGGGGTTTAGGGCCTTGGGGGGTTTTAAGGTACATAGCTACAAGGCTTCAGGATGCCTTCTGACGCTTCTCATGGTTCTCTTGGTAAGATTGGGACTGCTTCCTTTTGCCAGTTTCCCTGATCACGATCCAAAACTCCTCTTCGCCGTCGTAAATGTTCCGCCTGTTGTCAAGAAAATGTTTGATGATTGGGATTGGTTTGGCTCAGACTGTTTGCAGCTCCACCTGATCAAGTTATCCGGGTCCTTTTTGCAAAGGGCCACAGCTCCTTTGATACGGGTCCTTAGATAGGGCTGTCTATAGGAGGACAGAATCTAAATACATACTTATCAAATACGATCAACTCACAGCACTGGTGGTAGTAGTATATATGTACATATGTATGTATGTATATATATATATATATATATATAGAAACCGGGCTTTTTCTGATGGGTTTACAGGGGCCATGGGGTCTTAGATGGTCGTGGGACAACCAATAAGAGCCACAGAACTCCGACCACCCCAAATCGTTCTCCATCTCTGCCACGGTATACCAACCTTCGTCCACCACAAAGAGAATTTTGTTTTTGTACTCGATTTTGATCTTCACGTTGGCGATGAACTTCTCCTTGGATGGCAGGGCTTCGTAAATATGTATAGGCTTTATGCGGGATTTTACATAGGATTTCAAGGATTGGTTTAAGTTTAAGGCCTTTAATATTCCATAGGGGCTTATATACATTGGGATATCTAAGAAGATTTGTCGGGACCAGTGTGGGCTATGGGGTCTCACGATGTGAAATACTCCGTGCTTTGGGCTTTCTACCGGCTTGGTTTGGGGGCCCCTACACAGAGCTGTAGCTATGCTTTCCCATATAAGGCCGTTAACACTTGAGGGGTTTACAGGGAGTTTCCACACAAAGGCCTGGCTTTAATACAAGGCAAGGTACCTTGTCGAAGTTTGCAGTTTGCAACATCTGTGCCATGGCTGTTTTGTTTCCGCCTTGCCATTCTTCCCGAACGAAGGCCGGGACTTCTAAGTCTTTTCGCCTGGATTTGGCCTGAATCATGCGCTCGATGCGCGCTTTGGCGGCGCGTAGAAGGCGCTCCTTAATGACATGTGCCGGGCAGAGCTAAGGTTTCTGTTCTGGATGTGATATATATATATATATATATATATATATATATACAGATACATGACCAGTAATGATCCCGGGGGCTTGGCGTGTGTACACACGCGGCTGAGGCTTCTTCTGACTCATCTCACCATCGGTTTCCTCCTTCACAGCATGATGCCGGGGCGGCGGGGTGTGCAAAGGAGCGGATCCATCATCCGCTTTGTAGTCGACATCGTCACATTCCATAGCACTAGCCATGAACTTGAGGAAGTCAGCATCTGAAACCTCCCAAAACAAGCAAACCCAGAACTCGACAGATTGCAAACAAGATCACGAAAGTGAGCCTCGTCCAGCTCGTTTTCATCCAGTTCCTGCAGAACGATCCATTCAGATGACAATAAATTATCGAAATCTACAACAGCTGCACACGATGCCCGTCTATGTTGAGTGTTGGACACGAACACCAGAAGAAATCGGCTCCGGCTCGGTGTCTGATATGACCAAATAATCATCACTCTGGACTAGATCACCAAAGGAATCATCAGGAGTCACGTCGCCCGGGTCGTTGTGGCCGCCAACAATCCCGAGCTGCGCACCCAACTCCCGAAGCTCCTCCGCTGTAGCCTCACCAAAGAAAACCGAAACCAAACAGCACTGTTGTTGACGCGACAAACACATCTCAGGCTATGGCGGGCACAGTGTCAGCTTCGGCAACTGGTTCCAAAAGAGCTTCGGCCTAATCAGTGGGTGTTTTGCTTGAAAGACCCATGCGGTCCTGTCCTGAATGGCCTCGTCCATACGTAGTTGGTCTTCCAGCCCCTGCGAGAGAGCATTTATGTTCGGTTCATTGGATCTATACAGCTTGCTCCTTTCTACGTGCAATGTATTTCACTGAAAGGGTCCTTTAGCTCCAGCAGCAATGCTTCGTCGTCAGGAAATGATGATGCATTCTGCACGTGCTCCATCCCTGCTTCTAGACTAGCGCACGACCAAAGCTTCGAAACGGCTCTTCCCTCCATGGCGTGGGCTCGCTTAAGCCTGTAAAGCAGACAACAAGAAGGGTCATAGTGCACTTGCTAGCAGTCAACATGCTTCACACTTGCTGTTTATGACACGTACACGATTGCTCTCTCTTGCGAACCATCATTTTCCTTCCCCTGAAGATATGCACTGTGAGTACATCCACAGCACCGAATTGGAGGCGAGACCCGGCCAGCGGATCCCGCAGCAGCTGTGCACTGACACTGCGGCTGGTCGTCTTGGCAGCTACACGGAGGGCATTATTTAGGGTAAGAGGGAGTGTGGGCAAACCCGGGGTTTACCCATGACCGGGTCACGGGTAGATCACGGGTCTGTCATGGGTAAATCACGGGTTGGGCACGCTTTGGGTGAAACCCGGGGTTTTGTTATAGAACCGGGTTCAGGGATAATAGATCACGGGTTAACCTATAAAATCACGGGTTGGGCACGGGTATTTCTCGGGTTGGGCACGGGTAAATCACGGGTTTAGGGTCTATCTCTAGCTTCACCCACTATAAAAACCATATTCTGATTCAAAACAGCGAAAAAACATTCAGAACCCGCAGAAAAAGCTTTCAGCTCTGAATACTTTATACCCAGGTACCAATCGAAGCCTCCAACTAGAGCAAACACAG